GTGCGGTTGGCGCAGGATAGAGCAGGGTTTAGGGCTGTTGTGCATAGGGTCGCTATGAGTCGCAAACGACTCGACGGCACATAACAACAACAATTATTTTCATGACAGGAGTCCAGAATGAAAGCTGCATAATGGAGTCTACTTGAGTGGGGGAAGAGTATAAATATGAAAGAATATTTTTTTACTTTTCAAATAGAAAAGTGAACTGAGGGAGGGGGTGGGCAGGGAGGAAAGTGTTCAACTATGAATGAATGGGAATCCAAAGTCTCTGTAAACTTTAATTAAAATAAATTTTTTTTAAAAAGTACATTTAGTCAAGAGATCATTATTATTACCATATATGTGGTTTTAATGTGTATTGAGTGATGATTCTAGATCTTTGGAAAAAAAGGTCATTAATGAAAAAAGTAGATATGTATGCACAGATTATCTGATTGTATCTTTTCTGTCAAAAATATTTAAGTGTGAAAAACTACAGGGGAAACTTGTTGTCTGTGTGAATTTCAGCATAAGATGGTCTATTTAAGCCATTTATTTGGAATTTCTTGATTCGTTGTTTCTGGGCTTGTCAGGGCAAAGCTCTACAAAGAGGCAAAAGATACCCCAAACACAGAGAAAGGACAGGTAGACACTCAGATCTGCCACTTTCTACATCCTACAGAACAACTAAAGTTTCACTTTAACAGACATCTGAACTTGCTACTTCAAGAGATGAGCCATTCAGTACTACTTCCAGTTGTTGTTGGGTGCTGTTGAACCCACTTCAACTCACAATGAGCTGATAAATAGTGGTTCTGAACCTTGTCCTATTCTGTGCCATTCTCATCATCTCTGACATATTTGAGCCCATTGTTACAACCTCTGTATCAGTCCATCTTGTTGGGGGTCTTCCTCTCTTTTGCTGACCCTCGACCTTTCCCTGCATGGTGTCTTTTTTCCAAGCACTGGCTCCTGCCGAAGACATGCCCAAAGGATATGAAGTGAAGTTTCACCATTTTCGCCTCTAAGGAGCATCCTGATTACACTTCTCCAAGATAGACTTGTATGATGTTTTCGCTGTCCATGGAATATTCAGTACAGTTCTCCAGCACAACAGCGAAAAGGCTTTGTTTCTCCTGTCGTATTTATTCATTGTCCAACTTTCAGATTCATAGCAAGTAATTGAAAAGACTATGACGTAGATAAAGTGCACTTTCATGTTTGGTTTTTTTTAAAATATACTTTATTGTGATTTTAATGAAAGTTTACAGAAAAGTTGTATTTTCATTCATTCATTGTTAGTTAGGCATTTTCCTTTTTTCTGCTCCCTCAGTTCACTTAAAAAAACCCAACAAACAAAAAACCTCCACAAAACTGACATCTTTGCTCGTTAGCACTTTGGAGAGATCTCCAGCAGCCAATTTTCCCAGTGCAAGCCATCTTTTGTTTCCTTGATTGCTATTACAGTAGATATTAATTGTGGATCCAAGTAAAATTAAATCAATGCAATGCTAACTTTTTCAAATCTATTGTGAGACTGCCGACTGGTCCAGTGGTGAGGATTTTTGTTTTGTTTTTGTTGAGATGTAATCCATATTGAAGCAGAGAGTACCAGAAAGAAAAATACCTCTCACAGAGCCCTCTCCATTTTCAGATAGTACTTACTGCTAAAATTTATTTCTTTTTTATTGATATAGGTCTTCCACTGGTGTCACGTAATTTCAAATCCTTTTTCCAATTAGTCCTACTTATAAATATGCAGAAAATACACTTGCTACTCAGTATGACCTAAGGCTATTAATGAAAATATAATATAAAAGATATAAAATTCTTGATATAATATTAAGCTTTTTAAGTACTAGCTAATCAATAAATATAATTTTGCTATTCACTCATTGCTATTGAGTCAGAACAGATTCAGTGGATATCCGAGGCTGTACATCACTGGGGAGGGGATTGCTCATCTTTCTCTCTTGGAGCAGCTGGTGAATTCAAACCACCAGAGAGCCTCCACCTTTGCTTTAGCCAAGACGCTCCCTACAGATTAGGCCACCAGAACCCCCTAGCATAACTTTGCTATTGTGCTAGTAAAAAATCCAAACAAACAAACAAACAAACAAAAAAACCAACACACACACACATACACACACATAAACTATAGCAAGGATTCATCTCTTTTAAAAAAATTCAAGGGAGCTCTGGTGGCCTAGTGGCAAGAAACTGCACTGCAATTCCAGAGGTGTGCGGTTCAAATCCACCAGATGTTCCACTGGAGAAGGAGGGACAATCTCCTCCTGTACCAGTCAGATCTAATTTGACAGTACATGCACAAAAAAGAATAAAATGAAAAAAAACTTCATAGTCTACTAAAGCTTTGAATCACAACCTTTATAGCATTTAGAAAGTTTGTTAAAACACACATTGCATAGCCCTACCTCCAGTATTCCACATTCAATTGAGTGAGGTGGGACCTGAGAATTGGTACTTTTAACTAGCTCCCTGGTAAAACTGCTAGTATTTAATATGTAGAGGACAGGGATATTGCTAAACATTGCTCCCTATGGCAAAGAATTATCTGACTTGAAATGTTGAATTGCTCAATAAATATTGGTCAAGTAATGAATTTGCAAACATTCCTCATGGTGTCACTTTTTTTTCTCTCTCACAGTTAAAAGAGCCAAGTTCCAGGGGTCACCAGGTAAGACCTATCTTTTGTTATTATGTCCTTTTCCCTCAACTTGCTGTAATTGGAAAGTAGTCTTTAAGAAAGATATTAATATATTAGTTTTATTAATGAAGCAATTAATTAAATAAATTATTAACATTTTTATTGTTAAAATTATTATAAAACATTAAAGAATTGTAAGCATTTATAGCAAAGTTAAACACTAACATTTGGTCAAGTCAGTTCTACTTCTCAGAAATATTTATTTTACTTACACCTTTTTATATCTTTTTCAGACCTATCCCTGTGTATATACATGTTTGTTATATATATATTTAAAATTTTATGTGAAGATTTACACTACAAATTAGTTTCTTAGTCAACAATTGATACACAGATTGTATCAGGCATGCTTGTTCCTGCAATGTGCCAGCACTTTCCTTATTTCCTTCCACCTTGCCTACTCTGTTTTCACTCCTGAGGTTTTCCTTTTTATTTTTGTGAAAATGTTGTCTGGTTGGTCGAGTATAATGAACTTTTCAAAGGAGCATATTTATCATTGTTTATTTTTATTTACAAAGCTATTATTTGGGTGAAATGTGGCCTCTAGGGAGATAGTCTCAGGAGTTCCTCTGCTCTCTGTCAATCCAGTAAGTCTGGTCTTTTTTATGAATTTGAGTTTTGTTCTACACTTTTCTCCCATTCTAACTGATTCCTCCGCTTATGTCCTTGGTCAGAGTGGTTACTAGTGACAACTGTGCCCCGTCTAGTTCTTCTACTGTCAAGCTAGGGGAAGTGATTAATGACTAGGACTAATGGCATCCTTGAGGTTTTGTTTCTCCCTTGCTCAATATGGGAAGAAACCAATAGTTGTATCTTAGCTGGTTTACATCTGACCCTTCTTTGGGATTCCCAGGCTGTAAATCACACTGGAAGAATCTGTGCATCTTTCTCCTGTAGATCCACTGATGGTTTAAACTCACAGGAGAGATACAATCTTTGGGCTAGCAGCACAAGTCTCTAGGGACCACACTACCAGAGACACACCCCCTCTTCATACACTTACACCCACACCTGCACCCACACACACCCCTTCATATATACCTTTATATGCCCATGCGTGTACTCCATTTTCCACCCTCTCATCCCCAGTAATCATGAACAAATGTTTCTTTCTGTGTGTAATCTTATTCCTGACTCTTTATAATAGTCATCTCTGACAATATTTGCCTTCTTTTGATTGTTTTACTTCACATAAGCATAATAACCTACTTGGTGACCCTGCTGGTATTTGCAATACTGATGACATAGGTTTCAACATCACAGCAACATGCAGGCCACCATGGTATGGCAAACAGGCAGATGAGAGCTGATATTTCAAATACCAGCAGGGTCACTCATGGTGGACAGATTTCACTGGTGCTTCTAGACCTACACAGACCAAGAAGCAGGGCTGGCCGTTCACTTCTGAAATTACAGATCTTTGAATACCATATGAACAATGGAAGAACACTAGCCCAGTAATGGTACCAGAAGATGAACTGCTTCCTTAGAGTCTGTTTTAATGATAGGAGCTTAATTTGCTGATGTGGCGAGACTCAAAATGAGGGGGAAAAGCTGCAGACATGCGTTAATAATTGCAACATAGAATGCACAAAGTATGAATCAAGAAAATGTGAATTTGTAAAAGATGAAACACATAAAGATCACCTCCTATGTTTTAGTGAGCTGAGACAGACTAGTGTTGTCTAGTCATATGACATGCATTGCTGAGAATGACAAATTGAAGAAGTTGCATTCATGGTCTAAAAGAACATTTTGAGCTCCATCTTCAAATGTGATGCTGTAAATGATGTTGTTTGTTGTTGTTATGTGCCGTCGAGTCGTTTCATAGCGACCCTATGCACAACAGCCCTAAACCCTGCTCTGTCCTGCGCCAACCGCACTGCCTATGACACACCCATCCCGATTACCCCAGTCACCGAATCAGTCCATCTCATAGAGGGTCTTCCCCTCCTGCACTGTTCCTCCACCCTCCCAAGCATGATGTCCCTTTCCAAGGACCCGTCCCTCCTGGCAACATGTCCAAAGTATGTCAGACGAAGCCCCAGAATCCTTGCCTCCAAGGAATAGCTTGGTTTAATCCTCTCCAAGATGAATCTGTTTGTTTTCCTGGCAGTCCATGGTACATTCAGTACCCTTCTCCAGCACCACAGCTCAAAGGCATCAAGTCTCCTTCTGTCCTCTCTAGTCATTGTCCAACTCTCTGATGCATAACAAGCAATTGCAAAGACCATGGCCTGTATCACGCGCACCTTAGTCTCCAGAGAGACACTGCTACTCCCGAGTACTTTAGAGAGGCCCCTAATAGCAGACTTTCCCATCGCGATATGCTTTTTGATTTCCTGACTGCTGGTGCCAAGAGTGTTGACTGTGGAGTCGAGCAAACTGAAGCTGTGAACAATCTCAATCTCTTCGCCATCCATCCTGATGCTGCCAATTGGTCCAGTGGTGAGAATCTTTGTCTTCTTGACATTGAGCCTCAGTCCATACTGAAGGCTGCAGTCCTTGACCCTCTGCAGCAAGTGCATGAGGTCCTCCTCAGTTTCAGCAAGCAGGGTTGTGTCATCTGCATAATGCAGATTGTTAATAGATCTTCCACCAATCCTGATGCCACAATTCTCATAGAGCCCAGCCTCTCAGATAATCTGCTCTGCATACATGTTGAAAAGGTATGGAGACAGGATGCATCCCTGGCGTACACCCTTCCCTATTTTGAACCATGCAGTGTTACCCTGCTCTGTTCTGACTACTGCCTCTTGGTCCAAGTATAGGTTTCGCATTAGCACAATTAAATGTTCTGGGATTCCCATTCTTCTCAGAGTCAGCCACAGTTTGTTATGATGCACACAGTCAAATGCCTTTGCATAATCAAGGAAACACAGATAGACATTCTTCTGGTATTCTCTGCTTTCAGCCAAGATCCATCTAACATCAGCAACAATATCCCTAGTACTACGACCCCTTCTAAACCCAGCCTGGACTTCCGGCAGTTCTCTGCTGATGTGCTGTTCTAATTGTTTTTGGATAATCTTCAGTAGAATCTTGCTTGCATGTGAAATCAATGACACTGTTCTGTAGTTTCCACACTCAGTTGGGTCACCTTTCTTTGGAATGGGAACAAATATAGATCTCTTCCAGTCAGTTGGCCAAGTGGTTGTTCTCCAGATTTCTTGGCACAACTTGGTGAGCACATCCAGGACAACATCTGTTATCTGAAATACTTCAATTGGTATACCATCTATTCCGGGGGCCCTATTTTTTTCTGTTTCCTTCAAAGCGGCTTGAACTTCTTCCTTCATCACCATAGTGATGTAAGTGATAGGATAATATTAACTTAGATATGAGAAAAGAACTATTAACACAACTATTATTTAAATACACTCACCAGCCACTAAAGCCAAAAATGATGAAATTGAGGATTTTTACAGACATTTGTAGTCTGAAGATAGTTGTTCATAGCTGGATGGATTTATTTCTGGATTCTCCATCTTGTTTTGTTGGTCTGTGTATCTTTTCCCCCCCACTTCTTCAGTGATACTTTAGCTGTCTAGAATCTCTTTTCTTTCCATATATAGTTGAAGAATAGCTTTTCATTTTTGTTGGAAGAATGTTATTGTAAGTTGGATCAGGACTGCATGCCTCTTTCCACCCCACCTCACTGCCAGCACAACATCCTCGAAGTCTAATATATGGTTGTATATATTTCATTCCTACTACATCAGTTGTAGGGAACCCTGGTGGCCAAGTGGTAAGGAGTTGTGCTGTCAACCCAAAGCAAGGGGATTGAATCTACCAGCTGCTCTGCGAGAGAAAGATAGACACTCTCTTTTCCAATATATTGCTTTTGAAAACCCACTGGAATGTTAGCTATGAGTCAGTTCTGACTCAACAGCACATAACAACAACTAGATCAGTTAGATTAGTTTTTTCCCAATGGCAGCGACATACAATTCTGTGTTACAATTAGCATTTTAGTATTGTTTTTAGCTGCAATTAAATTGTCTTTAGCTCATCACAGCCCCATATTTTATGGAATAGAATGGCTCCATAAAGTTTCCTTGACTGTAATCTTTATGGAAGAGTTTACTGGAACTTTCCTCTATAGAGCTGCTGCTGCTGCTTCTGTTTCTGCTGCTGCTGCTGCTGTTGGGTAGGTTCACACATCCAGCCTTTAAGTTCGCAGCTGCTCCCAAACTGTATGTGCCAGCCAGGCTCTTTGTATCTGGTTAAAAATAAAACCCAAAAGAAAACCAACAAAATCCCCAAAAGGATAGGTTTTGAGATCAGGAGGGGCTATGCCTCCCATTTCATTTTTATTTTTTGGAAGTGCTTTGATTATTTCGGGTCCTTTCCTTTCCAAATAAACTTGCTAATTTCCTTTTCTGTCTCTTTGAAAAAGGAATTTTGTATTTGTATTGGGACTGTGTTAAATGTGTAGACTGCTTTTGGTAGGGTTGTAGTTTTCATTATATTGAGTCTTCTATCCATGAATTGGGTACAGTGCCCATCTTTCCCCCAGGGAGTGGCTGTTGAAGTCTTAACTGCCAAGCTTCCCTCCATTTCTAGGGCTTCCCTTGTATTTAATAGATGAAATAGATTAGGATAGGAAATATTGATATGTTACCTGTATTTTTCTGGAAGATTTTGTTTTAATTTTCATATGTTCACATATATGCTTACTGGTCAGGTGTAAAAGATACTAATTTGAAAAACATTACATTAAATTATGTCTTTGAGGATAACATATGTTACATATATACTTATAACTCTACTGTGCCTAGAATGGTACCATACTGTACAAGATTATAATGTCTTATTTTTTTCTTCTACTTGTAAAACTTTCTTTTAGATATTTAATTCTAAGGGTTTTATGAGACTTAAATAATAATCTAAGTACTAGATATTATAATTTTCTTTATTTTTTCCCCCAAAAGAGAAATTTAACACATATGTGACCCTGAAAGTGCAGAATGTGAAGAGTACCACTGTGGCAGTTCGAGGTGATCAACCTTGTTGGGAACAAGATTTCATGTTGTAAGTACTCTGCAGCGGCAGTATGCCTACACCTTCTGTAGTCTTCCCAAGACAGTCGTGTTGGATTAGATTGTTAGAGGCTCATGATTTCGTGTGTACCTGATTTTTAGGATGTGTTGTTAAATATTCTTTTGGAAAATTATTATGTTAGGAGAGCAAGTGAAGTGTATAGGTGAAATAAATTTGCAATTTTGTTCACATGTAGATTTGTACTCATTCTTAGAGATAAGTCATGTGTGAGAGTAAACTCCCAACTAATTTATGTGGTTGAAAAATACTATCTATTAAGATTTCCTGATGGTCAGAATTAGGATATAGTACTACATTCTTAGCCTGCTATTAAGTATAACTTTACTTCTCAGAAAGTTTTTTCTAATTCTAGTTTATTTACAAAATCCAAATACATTGTTTTTCATACCAGATACTTGGCAGAGTATAGTTGAGTATGTGAGAAAGAATGTATTATGTGTACCTAAGTCATCTGCTTCAGAAGATAAGGAAACCTGTGCTTATAATGCTTTCACTTTATAGAACAAAATGTCCTACAATATAACTAAAAAAATAAACAAACATTAGAATTTCTTAAATATGACATGAAATTTAGTATATTATGATTGTAGGGTCTGGCTTACAAGTGTTCTGTTTACTTTTTTACGTTTTCAGGATTTCCCCCCCCCCCATTCTAGAAAAGCAGAGATGAGTGTGGAATCTCACTTTGACTTATTGACAAACCACTTTGTTGCTCTGAGTGCCAGTTTCCTTATCTGTGAAGATTTACTGTACTTACAAAGTTATGCTTGTTTTTTTTGCACAGGAGGGCACAAAGGGTCAAGCAAGAACATGTGAAGTTGACTTTTCAAGTTTTATAATATAGCTCAGAGAGAGGTGGGAAAAAATTACTTTCACAGGCAAACATTTCTGTCCTCTGGGCTTTTGCTTCTTAAATTATTTAGGAAGCTTATTCTGATAGTTGCATGGTAATGTATGAAAGCTTGGGCTAAAATAATAGCAGAAGGGATAGAGAGAAAATGTAGATAGACAATTTTAACAGTATAGAACCAAACCAAGATTTGTCTTAGATGATTGAGTAGGTAATGTGATATTCATTAGGATAAGAAAATCAGTTATGGATAAGCAGTATTTGAGATTCTTATGGGACAAATAGGAGGAGAGGTACTGAAAATAATTAGGAAGCTGGTCCTTAGGGTTGAAATCTGGGTTGAAAAATATCCTAGTGGATTGAAATCACAGACATAGATGAAGAAACTTAGGAGAATAATTTGTAGAGTCAGGAGAGGACCAGGGCTAGCACCTGGAGAGCACTAGCATTTATGGTGTATACTGCGTTGAAACAGATGAGGGAGAGAACTGTTTAAAAGGGATATATGATGAGATATTATCGTTATGACAGGAGTCTAGAAAGAAGGTAGCATAGTGGAATGCACTTGAGGGGAGGGATAGAATAACAATGAAAGAATTTTTTCTTTTACTTTTCAAACAGAAAAGCGGTTTGGGAGAAGGGGTAAGCAGGGAGAAAAGTGCAACAATGAATGAATGGAAATTCAAAGTCTCTGTAAACTTTCATTAAAATAAATTTTTAAAAAAAGGAATAGAGGACTAAGAAGAAGAAATAAACAGATAGAATGAGATTGGTGTCACAGAAACCAAGAGAGACAGAGTTTCGAGAATAAAGAAGCCAGTGGTGTCATGTGTCTCACTGTTTGCTTCTCTGACAACATTATAATCCTCACTTATTTCTTCTCTCAAGTACAGTAATGTGAGAGTAGTACCACTTGTGCCCTTCTTTATGGAAAGTCAGCTATGAACTGTTTATACAAGTCTCTTCCCATGCCCTTGTACTTGCTAGAGCATGTAAACTAAGCATTCCTGCTTTCCTCCTACTTAGCCAACTGTAACAATCATTGACTGGTAAACTGTTCCCTGTCTGTAATACATAGGACTCTGCAGTTTCATCAGGACAGCTGACTTTTCTTTTTTCTTAAATGTTTGTTTTCTGTTTTCCCATAGCACTTCGCCTCTGTACCCTACTGTACTGTGTGCAGATTATCTTCCCTGTCTCTCACGTCTTGAGATTCTCTGTGAGTTTTGCCCTCTCCTCTCCTCCACATAAATTTTATTTATGGTGGTGTAGTGCAGTGTGTGTTGCCTTGCTAACCAAATGGTTGTTCGTTCAAATATACCAGTTGCTGTGTGAGAGAATGATGAACACTCTTCTGCAGAGATTTACAGCCTCAGAAACCCTGCAGAGGGTTGGTATGAGCTGGAAATTCCCCTGACAGCAGTGGGTTCATTCACATCTGAGTTGTATTAGCCACTTTCTCATCATCTTTTTCCTCCACCTTTTTGCTTCTGATCATTGTTCTTCTTGTCTTGTCCTTTTGTCCCTGGCAGTTCCATTGCTGGTCTCTTGTTTCTCTTTCCATTCTTATTTCTCTCTGATATGATATAAATTTGAACTGACTCACTGGCAACAGGTTTTTCCTTTGGATTAATATTCACTTTGCTGTTTTCCTATGATTTATGTTTAATACTTCTATTTCTTATCTCTAGGACTAGATTGTTAATACAGTAAGGGCAAAGAGGACATCTTCATATATTGTTGTATATTTACCTAATCTAGAATCTTTTATATACATTTGCTTATATATTTTTTTTCTTTTAGCTCCCTCCCCTCCCCCATCCATTGGATGACAAGTGCCACCGGTACAAACAGTCCCAGGGCAAACAGTCCCAGGGCAAAGATGCAACCAATGCTTTTTTTCAGCATCAGCTACCATGCTTCTATAATTTTAATTGAGTTAATGAATACAGAATAGAAACTTCTCCAGAACTCTGTCATAAACAGAGCTTACAGATTTCTCTAATTTGAGCCTGCTGAACAAACGTGGATGAGATTAGAGGCTTCTGATAGAAGATAATACCAAATTTTAGCTTGTTCTCTAGAGATTTTCCTGAAGGACTGATTTCCTTCTTTATCTGTCCATTTAAAAGTAGTAAAAATCTCTAGCTACTTTATCTGTTATCTTAAAATGTTATATAGGACTATCTTTGAGAATATTTCATTTTCAGATTTAAATGGCTGATGCTTAGATAGACTTGAGGGTGTTACATATATTTTCCAAGGTAATTAGGCTGACACATGCCCTTGCTGGGACGATTTCATGTTATAAATACTCTATATTAGCAGCTTGCCTAAGCATTCTGTAATAATAAATTAATGAATTCAGCAGTGCTTTCTGTGCTCTATTTTCTTTATGTAAAAGGATCAGATTTTTTTGCTTTACTTGTTTTCAATATACTGGACATGAATGCTGAAGACTGTAATACTCTTCAAAATTTATGACTCTGGTAACACTTATTTAAGTAGTATCACAGAGAAGCCAAGCTTTCTTGTTAAAACATAAAGTTGGAACTTCTACATATGATAACTAGCTTTCCTTTTTTTTTTAAATTTTATTGTAATAATTTTAAAGAACATTTACAGAGATTTTGGATTTCCATTCATTCATTGTTGCACTTTTCTCCCTGCATAGCCCTCCCCCCTATGTCCTCCCCCCTCCCCAGTTTGCTCCTCTCTTTGCAAAAGTAAAAGAAAAATTCTTTCTTTGGTTAGCTTTCCTGTTATATGTTCGGGTTTTCCCCCCCAGCTATAATTGAGCCTTTTACATCTTTCTTTCTGTTAAGTACCCTTGTGTTCAATAAGAACTTTCTGAAGAAAATATTTAGCATTAATATATGTTTATGTGTTCCATCTTAAGACTATAATTATGTTGGTGTTAAACCTTCTAAGCAAATATTGTGCTATTTTGGTACTATCATTTGCAAAATGATGTTCTGGCTTCTCCTGGAGTGAGTTATTTTCTAAGAAATTTTCCAGTTATTGCATTATTATATAATAAAAGACTTATGATTATAATAATCATGTTTAACATTAGCCATGATAATTATCTTGCTATAATTAATGGTGCTTAGTTTAAATGATAATTAGTAATACGTTCTCTGAGATGCTTTTATTTTTGCTTGATCTCTCTTCCATAAATCTTAGAACTAGAACTTAACTTTTCTCTGAGAAAAACTGTTATAATATAGCCTCATCAATGCAATGTAACACTTCAGCAGACATTCAAAGGTGATGTTATTCCAGGATTTCATTTGGTCCTGCATCGTTTAAAGTAGTTGCCATTTATTCATTTACTATTTTTGTGCTTTCTTACCCACCACTCCTCCTTGTTGTGTACCGTTGAATCGGATACGACTGGTACAGGAGGAGATTGCCCCTCCTTCTTCAGTGGATTATCTGGTGAATTTGAACTGTGCACCTCAGAGATTGCAGCACAGCTTCTTGCCAGTAGGACACCTGAGCTCCCTCAGTTACCATTTATTTTGAAAGATTTTAACTGTAAACTGGAATTCTTTTATTGCAGGTGGAGGGAACAGTATAATGTGACTAGGCATTTCTAGAATTTTCTCAAACCTTGTGTTCTGATATCAACAAACATGATAATAAATTCTTGTCTGTTTTTGTTCTTAAAAAAAATCCCAACTTTTCTCAAACATTTTTTGTATATAATCCATACATAAAAGTTAGGACAGTATTAATATTAACAACAATAAAAATACTCATATTCACTACCAGTGAATCAGTTCTAACTATGTTGACCCTCCATCAGATTTCTGAGGCTATAAATATTAATAGAAGCAGATTTTCTCACTTTTCTCCCTTGGAGTGGCTGGTGGGTTTGAATTGCTAACCTTTTTAGTTACCAGCCTAATATGTAAGACACTGCATTACAGGGTCGTTTTAGTATTAATAATAACACATACAAATCTGTCCCTTGAGGGTTGACATTTTAGGCTGGCAGGTTTGTCAGTAATGCTCTCATCACGTGGCGTCATTTTATGTGATATTGCATTAGCTGAACCGTGATTGAAGCTCCAAAGAGGAGGGACCAGACTTAGAAAGGCATTTTCTAAGAATATCTTATACAAAGTTTCTAGGAACCTAAAAAATGGTTGAAATCTCCTGGGATATTTTGATTTTCCCTCATGTCAAGATCATGGTGTAAAAGTATTCACGGTTTTTAGTAAAACAGGAAGTGTTGCTCTTTTTTCATATTGTCTGTTTTTCCTTACAAGACTTTCTTCTTTCTTTAGTGAAATTAGTCGCCTGGACTTAGGTCTCAGTGTGGAAGTGTGGAACAAAGGACTAATCTGGGACACCATGGTGGGGACTGTGTGGATTGCACTGAAGACTATTCGTCAGTCAGATGAGGTTAGTCAGTGCATTGTCTCTGTGCGGGTATTGTTCTAGATTTTCTTTCTGCCCATCCTAGCTCTATTTCATTTGGTATTCATCATGCACCTCAGTTTGTTCTGTTTCCTTTCCAATTAAAGGACACAAAGGCAATCCATTCTTACCCTGGAGATTCAGGGAATTTCATCTAAGTCTTGTCTGTGCCCTCTGATGGACTTCACAGGCATCAGAGCACCTCTTCAGCCTTATCAGATGGACAGACCCTTCTGAGTACTCTGTGTGGATGAGAGTGTGTATGTATGAGTGGAGGGGTAGGGGAGAGGGTTGGAAAGAGAATGTGTGTATATGTGATATTCAGTGTCCTCGGGGGAGTTCCATTAACCTTTATTAGTCAGGTGGCTGAGTTTTATTCTTTGCAATGTCTCTTTGAGTCACCAATTTTCAAGGAAGTAGTTTTAACCTTCTTCCACATATAATAAACCTAAAGGGTTGAAGAACTATCAGACTTGGTATTTAGTAGTAACACTACTATTTTAAGAAATGAGTGACTAGCCCACTCTCTCAAATTAGACCACCATTTATCATTTCCCCAAAGATGTTAATTTAGGAGAGCTCTGGTGGCACAGTGTCAAAGTGTTTGGCCATTAAGTGAAAGGTTATGGAAGGGGAAAAGACCTGACAGTTTGCTTCCATAAAGAGTACAGACTAGGAAACCCAGAGGGGCACCTGCCCCACTCTGACCTAGAAGTCAGAATCAGCATGACAACACACAGCGCAACACAACTTACTTTGGACTTGGAAAGAATCTATTCTGTTTCTTTTTTACTTTCACACAAGATATGATTTCTTTTCCTTTAGTTCTTATTCCATTTTCTTCATTCCTTAGAATTCCAGCTGGTCCTATTCCCACAGACTGATGCACAGTCTACTCTACTAATAATATTAATAGCTCTTTACTGGTTAGAAGAAGTGATGACAAATATCCTTAAGTGACACTGTAAATAATAATTGTGCGTTAAAATTAATCTAAAAAGATAGGTTTTTTTTTAAAAAAGGTTTTCTTTTGGTACACTCAACATTCTAGGCTGATTGTACCTTTAGAAAATTGAGAATACTGGATTGTACCTTTAGAAAATTGAGAATACTGAAAGCTACTCTTCCTGCTAAAGATGGAGAATGGAAAGGAGGAAAATGAACCCAGTGAGACAGATGGTGACGGTAAAGTGTTTACTATGCTTTGTCTCATCAGGAAGTGGTGACCCTCAGAAGCTCTCAAACAGTGAACTTCAGAGAAAAACACTTGGCTCTTAAGCCAAGAATTGAATCATGAATGATTAAAGTTTAACCATACTTCTCTGTTTTCTAGGAAGGGCCTGGAGAGTGGTCCACTTTGGAAGCAGAGACATTAATGAAAGATGATGAAATCTGTGGAACTAAAAACCCAACTCCCCATAAGATTCTACTTGATACAAGATTTGAGTTGCCTTTTGGTAAATATATTGTATTAGGTTTTACAGAGCCACTTAATACTTAATATTATATTGTTTGAGATTATTTGCCATCTGGTTCAGCAACATATGTTCTGCTCCTCAGCCATCTCCATTGAGGGAATTCTGACCAAGGAAAAGCTGCCTTCTTAAAGTAGTTCACCTTAATGATGTGAATAGAGTAAAACTTCATTTGCACATGGAGAAACAGCTGTAAACATCCATTAATAATTGGAACATGGAATGTATGAAGTACGAATCTAGGAAAATTGGAACTTGTGGAAATGAAATGGAATCCCTAAAGATCACTATCTAGGGCATTAATCAGCTGAAAAGGACTGTTTGGCCATTTAAAATCAGATAATTATGTGACCTACTATGCTGAGAACAATATATTGAAGAAAATGGCATTGTATTCATTGTAAAAAAAAGAATTTCCAAATTTGACCTGAAGTACAGTACTGTCGGTTATACATGTACATACAAGAACACCTGTTGAGAGGACTACTATTCAAATTTATGCATCAACTACTAGACCTAAAGATGAAGAAGTTGAAGATTTCTAATGATTTCTTAAGTCTGAAATTGGTCAGACATGCAATCAAGATGCTTTAATAATGGTGACTGGAATACAGAAGTTTGAAATAAAAAAGGACTAATAATTGAAAAGTATGGCTTTCAGGAGATATAAAAGAGATGAAAGATCACATAATTGAAGCAAAGTATTAGAATAAAATGTAGAGAGAGTTGGAGTCAGAAAATCAAAAGGGAAGGATACCATCATCATATATCAAGCTGGAAGAACTGCAGAAAAATGTTTTAAACCTTGAGTTGCAATAGTGAGGTATTTTGTGGGTAAAATATTGAGTGATGAAGGAAGCATCAAAATATTGAACTAATACAGGGTCTCTGTACCAGAAAGAATCATTTCAGGAGGTCACATATAATTAAGAACAAGTGGTATTGAAAAAAAATAGTCCAAGCTACATTGGACGAGAGTTCCAGGAAATTATGGAATACCGTATGAAATGTTTCTACAAATGCAGTTCTGGAGGTGCTCACCCATATCAGTCAAGAAATTTAGAAGGTAAATTCAATAAGAGCTGTGGTTACCTAATGAGAAAGAGCTGTGCTGTTAGCCTAAAGGTAAGTAGTTTGAATCTTCTGTGTGGTTATATACTGCTTCTGAGAACCCAGTGGAGGGTCAGCTATGGGTCACTTCTGACTCAGGGATACACGACAACAACCTAACTTACTGACTAAAAAGAGATTCATATTTGTGTCTATTTCAAAGAAAGGTTGTCAACTCGTGGCCACTCTAAAAAGGACCACAGTAAAAGATCCTGAATAGAGTCGGGGAAATGTGGAACAAAAGTAAAAAACATGAAAAAGGCCTTATTGGTCCAATAGAGACTCATGGAACCTGAGACTATGGCCCTTTGTCACCCTTCAAACCTGGACCAAGACTCATCATGATGGCTCAACTTTCAACCTATTGTTACAGGCCTAGAAGGTGGCCAATAACACCAGGGAAGCATTTAGTGCTTAGTATAGATGTCAGTCATACAGGGTCAAAAGAGCAGCATTTGCTTAAGGCTAAAGACCTGATGTCAGGAAGGACTAGGATAGAAGGATTAATTAAAATGAGATTTACTGGAAGAAGTGGGAAAAGTATAGTAACACTGTGGGTATTGTAATTAATTTTATAAAACAAAATGGATATAAATGATTGATTGGAAAACCAATCTACTTTGTAAATTTTCACTCAGATTACACACACACACACAGATTGAGAGAGAGAGAGAGATAATTAAGAGAATCAGGAGTCTATCAAATAATATCACTAATGCTATACACAAGTAAAATCCTGCTGAAAATAATTAAACAATGGTTGCAGGGAACTGTCAGATATTCATGTCACATTCAGAAGAGAAAGTGGAATGGGGGAAATCTCTGCTGGTAGAGAATATTAGAAAGATGTTTATCTGCTTTTATTAACTAGGCAAAGTCATTTTACTATGTGGATCATAATACATTATGAGTAGTATTTTGAAGATGGGAATTCCAGAATATTTAATTGTGTTTATGCAGAACTTATTGATAAATTAAGAGGCAATCATTTGAATCAAATAAGAGAACATGCTGTGTCATTTAAAGTCAAGAAACAACAAAAGATAAAACACCATAGTTGTATCTTTTTACCACATTCATTCAAACTATATTCTTTTTTATTAATAATTTTAATGAACATTTACAGAGATTTTGGATTTCCATTCATTCATTGCTGCACTTCTCTCCCTGCCCAGCCCTCCCCCGCCCCCAGTTCGCTTCTCTCTTTTAAAAGTAAAAGAAACACTCCCTCCCTGGTACACAATCCCCCCGCACCCCTCCCACCGCCCCAAGTACATTCCACTATGCAACCTTAATTATGGACTCTTGTGATAACCATAATACCCTATCATACATTGCTTTTAAATTATTCTCTCCCTCCTCTGTTTCAGTGCAGTATACACAATTTATCCACTTTTTCTCAGTCTTACCCCAACCCTGATATCAGTCCCATTTTACAGCAGTGGCACCATGCAATATTTGTCCTTTTGTGGCTGAGATATTTCACTCAGCATAATGTCCTCCAGGCTCACCCATTTTGAATAATATTGCATGAGTTCCTTATTTTTCAATGCAGCGTAATATTCCATTGTGTGAATATACCACAGCTTTTCTGTCCCTTCATTTGTTGATGGGCACCTGGGTTATTTCCAACTCCTTGCTATTGTGAACAAAGCCACGATAAACATGGGTGTGCATATATCTGCTTGGATGTCAGTTATGGTGTCTTTGGGATATATTCCCAGTAGTGGAATTGCTGGGTCAAATGGTATCTCTATTTGCAACTTTCTGAGAAAGCGCCATACTGCCTTCTACAGTGGTTGCACCATTTTACACTCCCACCAACAGTGAATAAGGGTTCCAGTTTCTCCACAACCTCGCTAGCATTTGCTGCTTGCTGTTCTGTTAAATTTTGCTATTCTGACTGGGGTGAGGTAATATCTCATAGTTGTCAAACTATATTCTTTAAAAAGAATAAAGTAAAAAAAAAAATAAATCCTCACAATTGGACCTCTAAGCAACATCATTATGAACACAGAGAAGTTGAAGCTGTCACAACTTTATTTTACTTGAGTCCATTATTAGTGCTCATGGAAGCAGCAGCCAAGAAATCAAGCAACGTATTGTATTGGGTAAATTTGCGGCAGAGGACCTCTTTAAACTGTTGAAGAGGAAAAGATTTCATGTTGAAGACTAAGGTGCATCTGGCTCAAGCCATACATTTTCAGTTGCCTTGTACTGATTTAGAAAGACATTGATTTAGAAAGAGTAGATCTACATAGCTCCTTACCCTGTTCCATCTAATAAGTGCTTAATGTTTTAAAAAAAATAATGTGAAGGAGAAACCTCAATTTTTATTTGATGTTGGTTGTATGAATTTGACTCCTTTACAGCCCTATTTAGGATATAATTTTTAGAAACAATAAAAAGATCATTCTAAAGGAAGAAGTTTAGCTTAGAGCATATTATATTTTGGGAAAGGAAATTTCCTTTCCTAATTCAGAAACTTGTGAAGTATTAAATTATAGACTTTATAAATTATAGACTTTAAAACGTGGTAACATCTAATTAGATGTTAGTAAATTTTAATTTTTTCTATGTGCATACATTTTTTTCCTTATAAACTATCATTATACATACTGCTTTATAACTTTATTGACCAAATGATTAAAAAGTGTGGATCTTTTCTGTTGAGTTGGAATTAACTCATAGCTGGTTTCACCCTCTCCATGATGAACCTGTTGGTTCTCTTTGCAGTCCATGATATATTCAGTACTATTCTCTAGCACCACCACAACTCAAAGACATAAATTTTCCTTCTATCATCCATAGTGATTATCCAGCTTTCTGATGCATAGCATGTAATTGCAAAGACCATGGCCTGGATCAGATGCACCTTACTCTCCAGACTGACATTGTTGCTCTTTAGGGACTCTGGAGATGTCCCTGACAGCAGACTTTTCCAATGCAATTTGTCTTTTGATTTCCTGGCAGCTGGTACCAAGATTGTGGAGCCAAGCAAAATAAAGCTGTTAACAACCTCACTCTCTTCACCATCTATCATGATGCTGCCAATCGGCCCAGTGGTGAGGTTCTTTATTTTCTTGATGTTGAAACCTAACTAGAGACACAAAAGATCTTTACAAAGAAAATTATAGAACACTTCTGTGAGAAACAATAAAGGATCTAAATAAATGGGAAAATGTACCCTGTTCATGGATGTGTTGTTGTTAATTGCCGTCAAGTCATAGGCGACTCAAAGTGACCCTATGAACGAAAGACCTGAACATTTTCATAACTTTCATTGTTTCTCCAAGTTCATAGGGTTTCCAGAGGCAAACTGTTTCAGAAGTGGGTGCTTCCAAGCTTGTTTTAATTGGGGAGCTCCACCAAACACTGTCAAAGGTAGGAGGACTCAATGTAATGAAAATGACAAGCCTACCAAAAACAATCTACATGTTTAAGACAATCGCAGTACAGACACCAAATTAATTTTTCAGAGATAGAAAAGGCAATTGATGAATTTATTTGGAGAGGAAAGAGACCCCGAGTAAGGAATTTCTGAAAAAACAAAAATGAAGTGGGAGGCATGGCACTCCCTGATTTCAAAACCTACTATACAGTTGTAATAACCAAAAATACCATGGTAATAAACTTCCACTTCAAAAGAAAAAAATACCATGGTACTGGTACAGTGGAACAGAATCAAACATCCAGAAATCAACCCCTCTATATGGACAACTGATATTCGACAAGGAAGCAAAACTTATCAAATAAGGAAATGACAGTCTTTTCAACAAATGCTGCTGGCAAAACTGGACTGCTACCTGAAGAAAGCTGAAACAGGATCCATATTTCACACCGTACACTAAAATGGACTCAAGTTGAATCAGAGATCTGGGAGTAAAGCCTAAAGCCTTAAAGATCATAAAACACATAGTAGGATCAAGCTTAGAAGACCTAGTCTGTGGAGTAACGAGGCTGATAAATACAGCCAGAAATATATGATAGGAGAGAATAAAATTGAAAAATGAGACCTTCTAAAGATTAAAGCCCTGTGTGCATCAAAACTTTTTCCAATTGGGTGGAAAGAAAACCTAAGAAGAAGAAGACAAAAAAAAGAAAAACAAAAAAATCCCAACAACAACAACAGCAAAAACCCACAAAAGAAAAAAAAAAAAGAAAACCTACTGACTGAGAAAAAAACATTTGGCAATACCATCTCAGACAAGGAGCTCATATCAAAAGTTTACAGAATCCTATGGTCTGTGTTATCACTTGTTATGCATCAGAGAGTTGGACAATAACTAAGAAGGATAGAAGGAGAATTGATGCCTTTGAGCTCTGGTGCTGGAGAAGAGTATTGAGGGTGTCATGGACTGCTAGGAAAACAAACAGATTCATCCTGGAAAGGGTCAAACCAGGCGGCTCCTTGGAGGCAAGAATTCTGACGCTCCGTCTAACATACTTTGGACATGTTGTAAGGAGGGACCGGTCCTTGGAGAGCAACATCATGCTTGGTAGGGTGCAGGGACAGCACAGGAGGGAAAGGCCCACTATGAAGTGGATTGATTCAGTGACTGGGGTAATTGGGATGGGTGTGTCAGAGACTGGCGATTGGCACAGGACAGAGCAGAGTTTAGGGCTGTTGTACATAGGGTCGCAAGTGACTCGATGACACATAACAACAACAACATAGGATCTCCACAAGAACAAGACTGATAACCCAATTACACAATGGGCAAAAGATACGGAAAAATTTTTCACAGAGGAGGACATTCAGATGGCCAACAGACACATAAAGAAATGCTCAAAGTAATTGGCAATAAGAGAGATGCAAATCATAACCACAGTGAGATACTGTCTCATCCCAGGAGCAGTGGCAAAGTTCAATAGGGCAACAAGCAATAAATGTTGGAGAGGATGTGGAGAAATAGGAACTCTCACACACTGTTGATGGGTTTGTAAAATGATACGGCCACTTTGGAAGGGAATTTAGTTTTTTCTCAAAAAGCTGAACATAGAAATTCCATATGACCCAGCTATTTCACTGCTAGGAATACACCCCAAGGAAATTAGAAATGAGACATAAACAGAGATTTGCACACCAATGTTTATAGCAGCATTATTCACAAAAACATGGAATAGCCCAAGTGGAAAACCACAATCAAATGGATTGAGAAATTGTGGTACATTCACAGGATGGATGCTGCACTCAAGAGCAACAATTTCTAAAATTACTGTATAACTTGGGAGAGAGGGAGTGGGAGCAGAGAGGTAAGGATGGCAGGGGGGAATCATAAGGTTGTACAATGTGGTGGGTGGAAGGAGGGGGATAAAGGATATGGGAAAGATCTGGTGGGGATCTGGAAAGATGGATTAATGGTGGGCATAATTCAGTGGTGATGAATTTTATTAAGTTCAATGAATGGGAATGATTGTATGAAACACAATGTGAATGAAGGGTAGTGTGAAACACAATATATATGAATTTTGTATGCGAACCAATATAAAATAAAAATTTAACTCACCAAAACAACAGCAAACATAAATAGTGGCATATTCAGCATTCTTTGACCTTTAGGTTTTTCTGTTTAACAATTTATCTTGACAAATCACTAATATAGAATTACATAGGTCCATTCCATATTGGACCTATAGGTCAGTAGCAGCTTGTCCTGCTTGCATTTGTTTTTAACAGGTGTATGTTGTTAAGGACCATCGAGTCAGACTGACTGATAGTTGACCCTCCAGAAGGTTTATGGGAGCAGTGAATTGCATGGGCAATTGTCCATCTTTCTCCTGCAGAGCAGCTAGTGGATTAAAATCCTGTGTCTTTGAGTTGGCAATGCATCTCCTTGCCACTAAACCACCATAGCTCCATAAATGAGCTTTGGGGACTCAGTGGATAAGGAGTTGCTAGAGTGTCAGCTAAGAGTCAGTTCTGACTCTGTGGCAATGAATTTCAATCTACTATGTGGATGGACAAGCGATATGGTAGCATACTTCAAGATTTTGTTATAAGACTCTGAAATTTTGGTACCAGTTGCTGAAGAGTGATTTGTGGAGAAAAACCGACATTTTGGACAGGAGAGATAAAGACAGTACTGCATTTGATATTTTTTCATAAGGATCATTAGAAAGTAGATTTTCAATATGGATTACATCTCAATGTCAAGAAAGTAGAAATTCTCACCATCAGGCCAATAGGTAAATAATAATAGATGGAGAAAGATTGAAATTGTCAACAATTTCATCTTACTTGGATCCACAGTCATTGCCCTTGGTATCAGCAGCCTCTTCTTATCATGAAATAGAAAGCATTGGGAAAGTCTTCTTTTAGGGACCGCTCCAAAGTCTTAAAGAGTAATGATGTCATTTTAAAGACTAAGTTGCACCTGAGTCAAGCCATGGCTTTTCCAGTCACCAACTCTGCATGTGAGAGCTGGTCAGTGACTAAGGGTGATAGGAGAAGAATCAATGCTTTTGGTGCTGTTGGAGAAGAGTACTAAATATCCTATGGACTGCCACAAAAGAAACAGCTATGTCTTGGAGAAGGTGCAGAATGCTTCTGGGAGGCAAGGATGGCAAAAACCTCATCTCACACTTTGAGTGTATTTTTAGGAGAGGCTGTGCTCTGGAGGGAGACATCATACTTGGAGAGGAAGACCTTAGGTGAGATGTATTGATACAGTGACTGTGGCAGAGAGCTCAAATGTGTCAGAGATGATAAGGATGATGTGTGATTGAATAGGATTCAGATAATGTTGTCGTTAGGGTCACTATACATCATATGCAACTCAATAGCACCTAAGAGCAGCAACAACAGCTAGAAAGTGGATCTGTTTAAAGATCTCCAAGGTTGATCTGATCTTAATATTACCTTAATATTTCTCGTTTGTGCTAGATGTATTGGGTATACTTGATATTTTTAAAAGATAATTTGAAAGGAAGTTATTATAGTCAATCTAAATATATAAAAATGAGAATATGCAATTACTTTTAAAAGCAATTTATTCTTTATCGATCAACTCAGCAAATATCTTAGCAGGTGATCTTTTCCAAGGATAAAGACCAATTTTGAACATGTAATTATACCAGATTCTAACTTTTTTTGAACTAATTGTGGTATTATAAGCTATTTTTGTCTTGGTGAGGGGAATCTGTGGTCATTTAGAAACGATATAGTTTTTTTTTATTTGTTTGCTTTAAAAAAATCATACTAGCTTTAGCTAGGATCTTCAGGTCTCAACTAGTTAGGAGCTGAGTGAGATTGGCCAGATTATTTAACCTCCATGAATTTTCATTTCTTAGTCTCCAAAATATAACTGTGAGAATAAGTCAGAGCTGGGGTGTGAGTGTGTGTGTGTGTGTGTGTGTGTGTGTGTGTGTGTGTGTGTGAAGATTTGAGATAATATGGTGGCAAGAACTATATAAAGAATAAAATTAGTCCACCCTCTTTGGTGGTATGGATGAGTGTTTTATATACTGATGACTGAACTATTATCTACTTATGTGCTTTCTTTTTTTCCTTGTTATAGACATCCCAGAAGAGGAAGCCAGATATTGGACTTATAAACTGGAGCAAATCAATGCTTTGGGGTCCGACAATGAGGTAGATACTGCCTTACTTGTAATATAGAGAAATAGGGAAAAATCTCTGATATATTTATATCTTGACCAGGGAAGGATTAGAGATCCAAGAGCACTTGTCTACTTGAAGAATTAAAGAATTTAAGCTACAGTAAAGAAAACAGGCAGCTCGAAGGTAGGGCACCTGAAAGGTTACCTGAAAAGTAATTGGAAAGCCTTACTCCTACTTTTCATATTCCTCCCACAATTGCCTGAAGTGGCAGAATTGACAGTGGATGGGCTCACTCTTGACTGCTGGGAAGAATACTAGTACCAGGGAATCTATTTTTATCTATTCTTTTTGTTATATAAATGAGCAGAAGATATTTCTTCTGTTACCTCCAAGAATTTTGTTTATGTTTTGTTCTTATAACTATTTAGAGTATTGCATTATTTTTTTTTAGACTATTGCATTGTTTGATCATAGAGTCATAAATCGTCATCTCCAGAGAGGCATATGGTCCAGAGAAGTAAACATAATCATCTCAACCTGGGGCATGAAGAATGGAGAATAAAGGAAGGGAAACGTTTATGTTTGTCTTTAGTGGCAGAGGGGAAAGAGATAAGACTGTTCATTTTGGACATGTTGACTGTTAGAACATGGGTCCAAGTAAAATAATAAAATGAAACCTTCACACTGATGCCCTAAAGTAAATAATTATCAAGATTTTGTCATACTTACTGCAAAATTTAAATACCTCATTGTAGAATATTATAATTTTATTCTACAATGTCTACCAATTTCTATGCACTGCAACCTTTTTTTTCCTTTTTTTTGCATTTTCTACTAGTTTATTTAAAAAACTCTAATACATTGTTTTCAAGAACAAATTCTTCCAATCCCACCCCTCCACCCCCACACTACAACCTTTTTGGGCAGCACTTTTGGGTAACCTTAGGAACACTGACTTGGGCATTTACCACCCGATAGAGTTAGAGCTACTGTTTTAGAACTTATTACTTAGGATCAGGTCTTTACATTTTGAATTTTCTTTCATACTTTTTTTGTTACTTCAGTTCAGTAACTTTGTATTTTAAAAAGCATAATTTTACTTACTTCTCACATTACCTTGAAGGACAAGAAGCACTGTTAACATTTTAAAAAAAAGTGAGACAATAGCCTCAGAGAGTGTTTCAGCCAACTGGGGGAATTGTCTATGCTAGCCAAAGGAAGCCTCAGAAGACTGTGAAATAAATAGCCCAAGGCTTCTAAGGCTTCACAGTCTATAGCTACCTGGCAGAGCTGGAGGTGCCCCGGTGCTCGTGGTCAAAACAACCTCTCGCCTTTGTGCTTTGGTCTGAGCCAGTGCCATATGTGATAGTCTGATCCCTATTTCAGAATTCCACGGAAAACTAACAGCAACCTATTCTGTTTCTGTTCAATAAAACATTTGACTATATACACTTAATCTTCTTACAAGTGCTGTTATTTTTCCTTCTTTACTTTTGTTGTTGTGTACTGTTGAGTTGGAACTAACCCATAGCTGACCATTCAGCAGGTTTTTAAGGGCAATAAATCACATGAGAGTTTGCCAGTCTTTCTCCTCATGAAGCAGCTGATGGATTTGAACTATATACCTTTCCACTGGCAGTACAGTTCCTTACAACTAAGCCTCCAGAGGTCTCTTACGTCTTTACTAAGATCTCTTACAATATGTATTTTCTTTTTCTGTTCCTAGTATTCTATCCAAGAAGAAAGCCAGAGGAAGCTGTTGCCCACTGCTGCCGCCCAGTGTTGTAAGTGAGAAACTGGCCTTTGAACCTGGGTTTGTTTTTGTTTGTTTTTATCTCAACTTTTGGTATAGGTCCTGCAAATTTACTTTTAATTGGGAAGGATGGAAATGTAGTATATGGAAACAAGATTTTCCAGAAGGACCCTTTGTTTGGACCTATACCTTCAATCCTTCAGTAATTTTACTTGGCCTTTAACTTCAGGAGGAGATCCTTTGATCACTGGTGCTCATCTTTTTTCTCCACATACTAGTGTTTACCTTTGGGGAGGAGTAAACTGCGAACAAATCTATATCTTCCTTTTCCATTCACCCACTACTATTCCTTAAGACTCATTTTAAATATTACTGCTTCTGGGACCCAAGCCTTCATTAGGTGTCTCCCCTTTATGCTTCTGTTGCATTCTATGTGTAGTACGTCATAGAATTGACCATATATTATAATCTGTCTCTCTGGAGACTAAGGTGCGCCTGATACAGGTCATGGTATTTGCAATCGCTTGTTATGCATCAGAGAGTTGGACAATGACTTGGGAGGACAGAAGGAGAGTGGATGCTTTTGAGCTGTGGTGCTGGAGAAGGGTACTGAATGTACCATGGACTGCCAGGAAAACAAACAGATTCATCTTAGAGAGGATTAAACCAAGCTGCTCCTTGGAGGCAAGGATTCTGGGGCTTCATCTGACATACTTTGGACATGTTGCCAGGAGGGACGGGTCCTTGGAGAGGGACATCATGGTTGGGAGGGTGGAGGGACAGCGCAGGAGGGGAAGACCCTCTATGAGATGGATTGATTCGGTGACTGGGGTAATCGGAATGGGTGTGTCAGAGGCAGTGCGGTTGGCGCAGGATAGAGCAGGGTTTAGAGCTGTTGTGCATAGGGTCGCTATGAGTCGGAAACGACTCGATGGCACATAACAACAACAACAACATATTTCCTTGGCATTCATGACTTTTTAAAAAAAAAACAACAACCCACATACATGACTTTTGAAAGGCACAGACATTATTTCACTTTTTATTTCTAGCATTTAATGTCATGCTTGAGATGTAGAAAGCACAATAGAGCTTGACGATTAACTGAGTGAGAGAACTTGTCATTTCTTCTGAAGTTTATTTGTTCAGAACTCACGGATTTTTGTCTTATAAGCCATGCATTTTTAGTTTATTACTATCTTCTGTTTAGTTTCCTTCGAAATAGCTTGAAGAGACCCTGAAGGACTGAGAGTTTGCTCTGTTTAACTTTTTAATCTGATGTGTGTGCATACAGTGTGCTGCTTTGATGCTGCTATAGTCTTTCTAAATCAACATCCAAGTTGGTTAAATTAACTTCAGGTTGAAGGTTGTGGTGATGGTTTTAGAATTTGCTTCAGTTATAATAGAAGTAATAATAAGAACCATAGTGGCTAACATGTATTGAACTTTAGAGTGTGCCTCGATATTCTGAAAGCATAAATGTGTTTACTTATTTAATTTTCACAGCAACTCCAAAAGGCACATCTTATTCTCATTTTTCAAATGAGAAAACCGAGGCATAAAGAGATTAAGTAACTTGCTGAAAGCCCTTATCACTCAGAAAGTAATGAAAAGTCTAGGAAAATACTTAAGAGTACAATACTAAATTATACAGAAGATAATGTTAATCAAGAACTTTATTAAATTCTTCTAGAGGTGGAATAGAGACAAGAGGAGGGTCTCTGAGTTCTGTGGAAGAAGATAGTAATTAGGGTGAAATAAATATATTTAAAAATAAATGAAGGTAGGAATGATATATCTTACATCATGTTATTTGGACAGTTTCCCAGATTAGATTGTGTCCCTAGAGTTAAAAGAAGGAGAAAAAAAAACAAACCTCAGAGAATCTTTGCTTTTTTTTTTAAATCCTTGCATTTTTCTATAAAATATTCAGTACTTATATGTCAGTTTTCCTCGCATCATCATTAAGTTCCTAGATAATGAGGTCTTAATGATTAAGAACTTCGGCTTTGGCTCAGGACATCTCATTTAAAATCCCACTGTCACCACTCATTACCTCTGTGATCTCCAGCAAGATATTTAACTTCAACACACTTTAATTTCATAATATTAAAAAAAGAGCAAAAAGTTGTTCTGAGGTTAATTTGATGTAAAGTATACATAGCATAGTATCTGGAATGAAGTAATCAATAAATCATTATTATCTTATCACTGGAACATTTTATTACTTTCTTCCAAGGACTTTTTTTTAAGCAAATTTGATTTTATATACTCATATGACAGAGTAAATGTACTTTTATAGTTAGGACAGAAAATGTGTTCATTTCAGTGTTCCCTCAAATTGGAGGGTGAAAGCAGATAGCAAGAGCTGTGTGCTGCTTGTAAGGATAATAGAACTTCAGCACATCATGCTTACTTTTGCAGGTCTTATCCGCAAGACAGACTTTTCATAATTGATCATATTTTTGTTTTTAATTTATAGAGATATTCTGAAGCCATGTCATCTGGGCTTCATACTTCATGCAAATCTCACTTGAAACAAAAACAGTATACTGTAGTTTATGTTATAAATATATTAATATGTATAGCAGAGCCAATGGGACAAAGCTGTGTAAACTTTTACATCATAATCAGACCTTCTGAGAGAATGAGTTTGGTCCTAGGACCTTGGGACCATACTCTCAGGGGATATTTATAGTCCACACAAAGACAGGGCTCTTCATCCAACTTTAGTGAATAACAACTGCAGTCTTAAAAGCTTCTGAACAGCCATCTAAGATGCAACTATTGGAATGTCCAGAAAAAAGAAGAAAATTAAAATGCATAGTAACAATTAGTCCAAAGGACTAATGAACCTTAAGTTCCTCAACCTTCTCAATGCTGAGACTATTAAGACTAGATGACCCTAACTGCCATTATTTTTCACATGCCTGTAATGACCATTTAGGTGACAGCCCCTACCTATTTCTTATAGAAACTTGTAGCTTGTTTTCTAGGGATCTCAACCATCATCTGCATCCACATTCTTTCAAGAGTGTATAGTAGATGGATCTTGTTTCCAAGGATTCATTTTAATATAAAGATCTGTTTTCTTTGTCATATTGAAATACTGTTTTGATATTCAGTTTTAGGCCCCTTCAAAACATCAGGTTTTCCAGAACATTTGGTAGCGTAAGTAATCAGTATCCAGCCTGCACTGAAACTTAGGAAATAGATGACAAAAATGGTCTTGACATATTATAATAGTTCGGATTCTCACCGGCACCTTTGAGCCACTGCTGTTTTTGCTTTTATTATAAGCTTTTTTTTAAGCTTTTCTATTGTCTAAAGCCATACTATGGATGGTGTTAACTTAAGGTCAAAGCCCAATAAGAGAACTACTTAGTCCCCTGTATTAGTTGTTCACAGGGTCACTGTGTGTCGTAGTTAACTACGGCACATAACAGCAACAACAGCCACAACAACAACAACAACAACAAATTAGTTGACCTTTAGCAATATTCATTGCTCTGCTACCTCATAAAAGAGAATTTCCAACTCCATGAATGTTCATATTTGTTTATTTATATACTGTGACTTTCAGTATGAACAGTGGGTTTGTAGTGTTGTGGTCACAATCCTCTAGGTTAAAATTTTACCATCTTTTTTCAAGTCACCATGATTCAAAGTTGTAGAATGTATTTCCTTGTCATTTACCAGTTCTTGGTGGCTGCATGATATCATGAAGAGAAGAACATTGATTGATTTTTCGTGTTTTTTTTTTAAGTTTCATAATCAGTTATCTTTTTCTGTATTTTGGTATACTGCATGGTTTAAAATCAGAAAAGATATGTGTCGAAGTTGTATTCTTTTTACGGTATCTATTCAATATATTTGCTGAGCAAATTTGAGCAACTAGACTATATGATGAGGAATGTGGCATCAGGATTAGAGAAAGACTCATTGACAACCTGTGTTTAGGAAGATAACACAACTTTTCTTGCAGGAAATGAAGACATTGTACAACGTTGTACAACAATGAAAGAATATTTTTTTTTCAAAGAGAAAAGCAAACTGGGGTAGGGGTGGGCAGGGAGGAAAATGTGCAATAATGAATGAATGAAAATCCAAGTTCTGTATAAGCTTTCATTAAAATATCAATTAAAAATACATTAAAAAAAATCGGGGTGGGGGTGGAGTGGGCAGGGAGAAAAGTGCAACAATGAATGAATGGAAATCCAAAATCTCTCTAGATGTTCATTGAAATTAATAATAATAATAATAATAATAATAAACAGAACCAGACTGTATCTCAAAAAAAATTAAAAAAATCAAATGAATATGTGAAGCACATATTGAAGACAAGCAAAGGCTATAGTCTTCAATATGGATTATACTTTGTTGTTGTTGTTATGTGCCGTCGAGTCGCTTGCGACACATAGCGACCCTACGTACCACAGCCCTAAACTCTGTTCTGTCCTGTGCCAATCTCATTGTCTCCGACACACTCATCTCGATGACCCCAGTCACCGAATCAATCCACTTCATAGAGGGCCTTCCCCTCCTGCGCCGGCCCTCCACCCTCCCAAGCATGATGTCCTTCTCCAAGGACCGGTCTCTCCTTACAACATGACCAAAGTATGTGAGACGAAGCCTCAGAATCCTTGCCTCCAAGGAGCAACCTGGTTTAACCCTCTCCAGGGTGAATCTGTTTGTTTCTTAGTGGTCCATGGTACCCTCAGTACTCTTCTCAAGCACCACAGCTTGAAGACATCAATTCTCCTTCTGTCCTCCTTAGTCATTGTCCAACTCTCTGATGCATAACAAGTGATTGCAAAGGCCATGGTCTGTATCAGACACACCTTAGTCTCCAGAGAGACACCGTTGCTCTTCAGTACTTGAGAGAGGTCTCTAACAGCAGACTTTCCCATGGCAATACGTCTTTTAATTTCCTGGCTGCTGGTGCCAAGAGTGTTGATTGTGGAGCCAAGCAGACTAAAGCTGTGAACAATCTCAATTTCTTCACCATCCATCCTGATGCTGCCAATTGGT